TCAACAAATTGTTTAATATTTTATAAAAGCTTACAAATATGTTAGTGACGGCAGAATTGCCAGTTTCGCTGCCCTCTCTGTCAGTGGCTTTTACGTCAAAGCCATAGAGCTTTCCGCCATCCATAGTGAAGGTAACCATAGATCTGACGACACCCGACACGGGGTCGATGTGGAACTTGGCTGACGCGTCGTCACCGCGGGCTAGGATTTCGTAACGAATCGCACCATTAATTCCTATGTCGGCATCTTTTGCCTAATATAAACCAAATTTTACATTTTTTTCATCAAAATTTTAACCAATTTATACTAACAGTTAATTTGACGACTTGATAGCCAAACGCGGCCTCAAGAGGAACGGCGGCCACAATTGGTCGGCCCTTATTCTCAAAGACGGGTGGATTGTCGTTCTCGTCGTGAACGTTGACCACCACTAGTGTCTCATCAAATGCCAAGTGATAGTTGGAATCTGATGAGTGACTGCTCACATCCCGACCCACCCTATGGTGTATCAGATTTTCGGATCTAATTTTCAAATTATAGACATCTTTCTTCTCCCGATCCAGACTTCGGGTAACGACAAGACGTCCCGTTTCGGCACCGATTTTAAATAAGCCTAATATAGAAGTAATTAGTTTAAAATAGACCTTTCACATTTCTTGTAATAATTTGCTTTTAAATTAAAATTTAATAAATATTTAATTAAAAGAAATATAAAGTAAATAACATATAATAGTTGCTAAACAAAAGGGAATTTATTCCTATTATATTATATACGAATGAATGAAATCATTTTAATTATAATCCATTGCAATACCAATATTAGTGAAATTAACTTTTGAATTATTTTCATTCAATTCTATGATATAAAAAATCAATTTTTTTGGTAACTTTTATTAGAAATATTTGGTGGTATCCATGAAAAGGAATTTACTGAATGAATGCATTATTTTATTCCCAAATAAAACCAAAAGCACTAATACTTTGAATTATAAGCAATCCATTGCCAAAGAAATGCATATTATATTATGTAATAGAGTGTATATTATTATGTTTTGTTGTAATTTTGTGAATACTTTTGTCTCATTTCATTGATTTCTTTGAATATATTGTATGGATATCTCAATAGACACAAAAAGAATACTAAAAGTGGTATTCAATGAATAGAGAAGAATGGTTTGAACTAATTGTATGCCAAAGAATATATGGGATTAATGTATGGCATGGAGTGACTGACCCCTATAATCGGTGCCCACAATACTGTAATGTGAAGTCCTGTGTGCGATCTCGTCGGTCGAGTTCAAGTCAATCAACTGAAGTGGAGTCAATTGATTCTCCATCACTGATACTTCGTATACCCGTTGGGGGAACAGACGTACCCCTTGACCGGTGCCCACAACTATGTTCACCTAAAAATATAAAATATATTAATTTTTATTTTCAAATAAATTTAAAATGCAAAATATTATGTAAGCAAAAGTATGGAAATGTTTAAAATCAAAATACAAATTTTATAAATCAAATAATGTAAATCAATTCAAACTTTTTAATAAAAAGGTCTTAAGAATAATTCTCTGTCTGAAGAATAAAATGCCTTATATTCTGTGCACAAGTTGTGTATAAAAAGATTTATTAAAAGGCAATGCACTTCAATTCAGGGATTAATTAAAAATCATTATAAATTTGAAATTTACTTCATAGATAAAGCATATGTTTTCGCATTAATAAACAAACAATTTTCGCTAATAAACAAATAAATATATTTTATGTGAAAAGTGTAGTGAACTTCAAAATAAATATAGAAATTTAAAATCTAAAAATTCATGTTTTCAATGTTTTGGCGTTTTTACTGATATTTCAAATCCTTTGTATATATAATTAGCATTTCGTGTGAAATCATTAATTCCTCTTCTCTAGAATTTTAATGAAATACTATTTAAAAGTGAGTCCAAAGACATTGTAAACAACACTTTACGTGAAAACAAAAACAATTTTAATTGTCATATTTATAATGAAATGTCTGTCATTTAGAAAAACCAATCTGTGATTCCTTAGAGGAAAGGACTGTCTATTATAACTGGAAAATATAATAACTTATTATTTAATATCATTGTATATATCATAATAACGTCTATTAAGTATAAGTGAATGACTTTCAGTATAAAAGCAATGCAATAAATGTAACAAATATTAAGGCAAACAATTCCGAAGAAATGGCAAAAGAAATGGCAAACACTGTATTAGAAAAAAGCATTGTTTGTAAAGATATTGGACTCATATATAGTCCTCACCATAACTGCGGTTATAAATAGCATTTAACGGATAGGAATTGAAAATTCTCTCATATCATATGACAAATCAAAGTTACATTCATTACTTTTAAATATATACAATTTATTACTGAATATAATAATAATAATTAATAGTAATTGAGAACAGATCTCAAGAAATTAATAAAAAGATAGTTATATATGCCATAAATAGTGGAATTAAGGCCTTTGTGTGTGGGAACAGTTAAGGAGAGGTGAGACCCCCTGTGCGGCCAAAACAATTGAGAGTAATATCATATCCCAGCGCCTATATGTCAGTCCCATTCTTATGCGGTAATGATATTAACAACAAAAATTGTAAACGGATTCTCACTTTGATGTGTATAATAGAGTACACAATAGCTGAGCCTTTGGTGCTCTGGTTTTCACATGATTTATTTAATTTATCATAACATAAATGTCTTTCTTCTCCTAAGAATGTCTTTTCAGAGTTTTTGTTTGTATTGATTTTTGAAAGTTTTACACATTTATTTAAAATTACTTCCATTACTTCCATTCGCCATCAAATGTAAGCCAAAATTACGTATAAAAACAAAATAAACTCTTTTATAATTCTACTAAAGAATTAATAAAAAGAAAATTAAAATTAATTTTCTGTTTTATAACTGAAATGTAACCTCAATTGTACTCAAATAATAAAAACAAAAATATTTTTAAAATATTGCACAAACTTTAAAGCGATATAAATCTCTTAAAATAATCAATATTCAGTTCATTGAAAGCATTTATCTCTTATAATATCACTTTTTCTGTATTTAATGTTATAAAACTAATGCTATTATAAATTAAAAAGTATAACATATTTGAGAAACAAATAAATCTTTTATTAGTCGTCTTCTATTGGTATGTCTTGTTATCTCTGAACTCAATATTGAATACTTTTGTCTCTTTAATAAATATAACGTATTTATTGCTATCTTTTATTTCGTTAAAACATTTTGCGATAAGAATTTCTATAAAAATTGATTGACATCTTTGTGTTGTTTGTAAGGATATTTCGGTCGTTGTTTTGGGCATTGATAAGACAAACACAATAATATGAGACGATGAGAGTGAGTGGTCATTAAGTGTTGACATTATCTACACTTTTGTTGTGCTAATAAAAGCAATACATAAACTAAATCTGAAGTTC